TGAAAAGGCACAGCGGCAATGATGTTTTTTGTCATTAACAGATAGTTACAGGTGGATAGCCCTTGTCAATAATAACAATAATTTGTCAAACTGTGACTTACCTTGAATTTCCTTTTACGAATTTGCGGATATGCGATTAGTTCAGTAACATAGCAGAAGGGCAAGGAGAGTGGTTCCAGGAAGATAGTGGCCGATAATAGATGTTCGGGTTCCAGACACAGAGGAACAAGTATTGGAGATAATCGAATCCGGGCCTTCCAGGGGCACTCAGAGCACAATAACTGACACTTTCCTAAACACCAAATAAATACCGAGGAAGGGCTACGTTCCTACCACGTTTGTAGGATACAGACAGCACAAGTAGATACAAATGGAGCAGGAGTTAATTAACTGAATACGAGAAGCTGCTTGATAAGAGTGGATAATAAGGAGATTACACAGGCATTAGCTTGTTTGTAGTTAACCATTCAAATGTTTGGTGTTGTATGGTTTATTTTTAAACACCAATATTCGGGGCTATGAGAACAGGTTGACATTTCGAAAGTACGTTCGCAGTCAACAAATTTTGTTGAATTTACCGTTTATCCTTGACTATCTTATTGTCACTCTGAAAAATTCCATGGTTACCGGACTTTTAAATAATTACGAAGTAACAGGTATTTAGGCAATGTTAATTAGGCAGATTGCCTTAAAAAACATTGCTGCCGTATTTCTGATAACGTTTTTCGCAAATCTGTCAGGTTTTCATAACAATTAATTTCTTTTACTATTTTTTCTGTACTCCTATAACAGCGCCAGACAACACCTCCAGAGGAATGGCGCCGATTTTGAATCACCCTGTATGTTGTTAATGTATTTTATATATGTCTAATATATGTTGTGACTAAATAAAAGCGACATCATTCACCGTTTGGTCAGGATGGTGTTCGTAACATTGCATGTAAATAACACCCAATGTATTGTTTCGTGATATCACTCCCTTCTCACCTTAGTGGATTAAGGCATTCTAAAGTGCCTCAGACGAAAAGATTAAGAAGTATTCTGTATTAAAACACTCTCATTTGATGATGATTTCTAGAGTATTTGGAAAAGGCTACGCAACACACGAAATTAAGATTCGCCTAATTATTTAAGATTCACCTAATCGATTAAGATTAAGACCTTCATTCATGTCATAACACGATTTTAACCATAGTAATATCTTTAGTTCATGACGAAAATTTGCCATGGCACATGTTTAATAAACAAGCTCTAAGAAACGGTTCAAATTTGAAACCCCAAATTTGGTAGGTAGTTAGGTGAAACCCGAACTCCCCAGATGAGGTTAGGGTACGCATTTACGCGGTACCCATTTTGTAATATATGAATGCATGCAGCCTACAAACATTGACATAAAAAAATGTAAAAAATCAGGTTTTTTAAATGACACCTACTAACTTTTTCGTCCTATTTAGTTTAGATTTTTTGTTTAGTAGTAGGAAAATTTTCAAACAACATCAAAAAGTTAGTAGACACTATTAAAACGACTAATTTTTCGACTCTTTTTATATGAATGTTTGTAGCCTGCGTGCACTCAAATGCTACAAAATGTGTACACTGACGTCTTCTAGGGAGTTTACATTTCCCAAATTTGTGTTTTGAATTTTGAACGGTTTCTGAGATACAGTTTCTTCCTGTAAGCATGTGTGATAGCAGTCAGTTTTTTAAACAATTGAGATATTAAAAACTGTAAGAAATAAGTTAAGAAAACTAGGGTGGCTCCAATTCGCAATTGCTAATGCACCATGTTAAAGAAATTAGAGGTTTGCATGTAAGATCAAAAAGTTAGGTTATACTTTTCGTACACTCTGTATAGCTGGAGGGCTAACTTTGTTCTGCATCGTTTCGCCACGACTCGCCATGACGAAAAACTAAATTTGAAGTTTCTAAAACAACTGCAAGTTGGAAAACTTCTAATGCACGGTCTACGTAAATCATCCTGCATATTTTCTTAGTCCTAATATTTTTGATGTATATGTTCATAAACGAGACATAGGTAATATATGCCATCATTGCTATGGTGATTCAATCTTGACGCCTTCTGTCAGACTTCAAATATTCGACATTTGAAACCATTACGAAAATGTCGCACATTCTAGTCCAAAAATATCAACTAGCAGTTGTAGCGACTCTAAAGTGCTAATGTCGCATCTTTTTAGAAGGAACTATTTACGAGATTTTAGATAGATAGATACGATTTTAGAAGGAACTACACACGCACTATTTTTTCTTGAAACTACATAGGTTTGAGGTAGTAAAGGTTGCGACTGTTCAAATTGTCAATAGTTGCCGATTGTTTTTACATTTCCAATACTTCTGCATATCTAAATAAACCACCTACTTTTCCAATATGCTTTGCTGCTTTACTATGCGATATTTGAAGGTATGTACGATTGGACGTTGCTTGTTCCAATTTTAAAACTTTTTGGAGAAAGAAAATCGATCTGTTCTAAGAGAAACATAATTATGTTATAATCTTGAAGCGTAAAGCGAAAGCTCACTGAAATATTCTAGTCTCTCGACATATACTGAGTTTCAAAACTTCTCTAGACCCAATTTGTTCTTGAAACATTATAGAATTAAAGGCAAGGTTTCCGATGATGCTGTAAGGCCTTGCAAAGCCAAAATAATTCAGCTTGCAGGACCAAAATGTAGGGTTTTGCAAAGCCAAAATGGTTCGGCTTGCTGGACCAAATTGGGATTTTGCAGGACCCAATTTGCGGGGGCAATTTTTGTTATTTCGAAAGAGCAAGGTATTTCAGACTGACTTAGTGAAACGTGGTTGAAGTTTCGATCAGCTGCAGGATTACAAAGATCTCGCGATGTTTTCTTTGCCCCCCTAGCACTAGTTGGGACCGTTTATTAAATAATAAACTCTCCAAAATATTCGGATGGGCAATATGACCGTTCACTAGTAGAGTCGCGAGAGAGAGACATAGTCGTAGAGCCCGTAGAGAAGTTTGGATCAATGGATGAGTACTGAACCCGAGAGGATTTTATGTGAACTCATTGAGACCTTCATGAGCAGTCGCACGTGCAAACTCGAACTGCTTATCACCTGCAAGGGTGCAGGCTTAGAATTGGCAAACTGGCATTTAGAAGATTTCTAGCCGTATGTACGTACCATAATTAACGTTTTTATGCCATAGGCAGTGTGTATGACATTTTAGAATATGCACATAAAGCTTTCTAGATTAAAACTCTTCCAGTGTTTATAACGGGTACCTAGCATTCAAAAAACCCAAAAATGAACAAAAATGCTGAATCAATGTAGTATTGAGAAACGCTGGAGAACGTTTTGATTAGATCAATAATTACTGGAATTTTCCCAGAACTAATCGCATATTCGGAAATTCGATTTTGTGAAAGGACTTTCAAAGTAAGTCGCAATTTGACAAAAGCTTCTTATTATTGATATAGGCTATCTACGTGTAACCTTTCTGCTAATGACAAAAACATTATTGCCGCTTTGACTTTTCATCAAAAAAGTGTAGAAGAGTACTTTTGGAATATGAAAAATTTTCGTAATTTGAAGTAAATATGGTGATTTTTCTTTTCAAATGCTCAAGTATTTCAATAAGCTACCTATCAAACATAGGACCTTTTATAAATAATAACAAAGTATTAATTGTAAATAATACTTAATAACAAAGTTGAAATTCGGTTTTCAACTGTTAATATCTTGTAGCAATTTTCGAAAAATTTTGAATCACCCTGTGTAGCTCTCTGATTGCGCGACTTTTTCCTAAATTAGTCGACTTCGAACCTCTTAAGGTTTCGGAGATCCTCATGCAATGTATCCTTATCTTGGACTCCCTGTATATATTAGACTATTCATACTAAACACGTGTCAAATTAATGTCGATAAAAAAATTGCCAGCTATATATTATTTTCAGATAGCTTGACTTCGATAGCAACATAGAAGTGGTTTAAAAAAAATGTCTACCAATCAAGAGTAATTACCTTTTGTTCGTGCTGTTTGCACAATGATTTAATGCTTACATTTCTACTTGAAATATTAACGTGTTATATCCTTGTGGCTAATCTAACTGTTATAAAGTTTTCAAATATTTCAGTAAGAGCATTTCTATTTCTTAATCTGAGCTTCTCAACATTTTCTGGCCTTTAATTTTAAAACATGTAGCTGTATGTAAATCTGGAAAATATCACCGTTTATATTGAAGTGAAATGCAAAACAATTGTTTCTGTGAAAAAAAAACTGTAAACCTTTTGCCAATAAGCAATCAAAATGCAATTCGAAGGGCTTTTCACCAACAGTTTAATACAAATATACTAAACCGATGTATCGCAAATCTAAATCAAACTATCAAAATTATAATACAAGAATTAAAGGTGAATTACCTGAAAAATAAGTGTCTGAAGTTAATATGACAGTTTACCATAAAATTAAAAAATAGCGGATCTACAGGACCTTGAATTATATTTGTAAAATTAATTAATATTAATTATTTGCTTTTTGGTTGCACCGAATATTTTCTTAGTTGTGATACTTCCACACTAATAAATGTTGGCAGCATGAATGAAAAAAATGTTATTCAATGGCGACGATCATTCCTTAATCTCCAAAGGCCGATATCACTACTGGTGTGAAGTAACAGCTACAGCTTTTTATGTTTTGCTTTCTACTAATTTCGTCAATCGGTTCTCGACACGAAAGACCATATCTTATTATTACACGAAAAACTTAATATATATACAAATGAATCTTTGTTTTTTTCTCACAAAAACAAGCCTTTTTCGAGAAAAAATATTTGACGAATATTTATTTTGCCGTGCATTAGCAACAGCTCATTTCTACGAAAATGAGACATAAATAATCCTTCCAAAGACAGTCAATAAAACCTACGATCGTTGTTTATGAAACTGTTATAGATTCTAATAACACTTGTCGTTTCTAATTGATCATTTCTTTGGAAGGCTCGATTTGAGTATACGTTAATAACAGTGTAGCGAAATTAGCTGTTATTAATTCACATTAATCAAAATCAAAATATTCAGATGGAGACGAAAATTTTAATTCAATATAAACATTAAACCCTGCCAATACGTGAAAAATAATATCATTTAAATGTCCTCCACGGGACCTCCTACAGGCCTCAATCCTTTTGAGATAATTTTGAATGACTTTTCGGCACATTACCGGTAATATTTCGGTCATAACTTCACGGATATTGGCTTTCAGTTGCTCAAGAGTTTGAGAATTGTTGGCGTAAACACGATCTTTCGCATAACCCCACAAAAAGAAATCTAAAGGAAATTTCTCTTGCAATAGGGCTCTAACTCATAATCTTCAATTTCTCTCCAAAAATAATCGGTTAACATGCGTTCATAGCGCTCAGAATTTACTGTTATGGCTCTTCCTTGATCGTTTCCAAAAAAATGCGGTCCAATAACAGCACCGGACCATAATGCACACCACACGGTCACTTTTTCAGGATGCAAAGGCTGTTCTGCGATCACCTGAGGATTTTGAGAGTCCCATATACGGCTGTTCTGTTTATTCACGTAACCACCGAGCGAAAAATGAGCCTCATCGCTGACGAAAATTTGGTGCGAAAAATCATCATCACCGGCCTGTTGTTCAATCACCCAATTTGCGTATGTTCCGCGTTGCCCATGGTCTTGAGGCTTAAGTTATTGAATCAGTTGGACTTTGTACGGATGGAGCTTCAAATCCAATTGCAAAATTCGCCACAATGGCCGTAAGACAAGCCCAAATGTTGAGCACGTCGGGGAATCGACGAATTCGGGTCTTCCTCCAGACTTTGAGCAACAACACCGATATCTTCAGATGAACGAATGTTGCGACGATGCACAGGCCTTACAATATCAGCAACCGATCCAATCTCTTCAAATGTTTCCACTGTGTTCAACATTGTTTGCTCTGTGGGTTGATTATGTCGATTGTAATCGGCTCGTAAAGCCTGAAAGTTTGAAAGCATGCAAATTGTTTAATTTTAAGTAATATCCATGCGCCAAGTTATCTCCTTTCAAGTGTTAGCCTCTTTGTCGCTTAGCAAAAACTACGTAACTTATCAATTAACCATTGAATAATTTTGTAATTCCACTGATAACAGCTATTCGGCCTGAATATATAAAGGCAAAATTTGTCGTGAAAGATTACGAGTTTTGGTTGATTGGCTTCACGATGAAGATTGTCGGTAAGTTATCAATGTTAATTATTTGTCTGCCGTATAATATGAAAGCAAATAAATATAATCTATTTTAACATTTTTAAGATGGATTTATTCTGTGTAAAATTTTTATATTGTGTTTACTGATCGATATGGTTAAGGTCCTTTATAGTCTCTTTAAGGAATGAAAGCAGTCTATATGATAAAATAAAAAAAATATATTATTTCTTATGATTGTGAAGAATTAGTTCCGATTTCCCATAACACGTCATATGGCCAAAAATTATAGACAAAAACTGTCTAACTCCCACTTAAAACAATGACTGCGAAAATATAAATCGCCGTATCGCTTAATATGTTTTTGTAAGTTTTAAATACAATTGATCTTTAGCAGAAATCTGGATTAACACACGTGTTTTAAAGGATATTGCACACGGTATGGTTGCCAAATTTAACATGTTTCTGTAAAATTGATGTTATGTTTCTCTGTCGTCAGTTAGGTTGCATAAGGATTTTGGACTATCTCATTTATTTTCAAGAAAAACGATTAATTTGAACTTATTATGTATATCAGCGTAACTCATCAAACTTCAATTTTGTAGCACTTCTTCTATTGGCTGTTGCATACGCATCGGCTACTCAAACCTCGCCTGGAACTTCATCTCGTCCTATTCTGAGCTCAACTGAAGCTGCCAGCTATACAAAGGCTAAATACCTACAAGGATGGACGCCAAGTACTATAAGCACTAGTACTGCTGACTACACAGTGGGTAGTGGATACAGCACAATTCAAGCAGCCGTAAATGCCGCCATCAATGCTGGAGGCACAACCAGAAAGTACATAAAAATCCCCGCTGGTACTTATAGTGAAGTCGTGTACATTCCCAACACTAATGTACCATTAACTATATACGGGGGTGGTAGTGCACCCGCAAACACGGTTATTTCACTCAGTTTATCAGCCACCTTAACCGGCACTCAATATAAGAGTGCTGTAGGAAGCTTATTTTCATCGGGGGACCCAGCTTACAGTATCTACAGCAGCTGCGCTAGCAAAAGTGCAATTGGCACCAGTTGCTCTACTGTATTTTGGGTTCAAGCCCCTGGGGTTCAAATCGTCAATTTGACTATAGAAAACTCTTCTAAAAACTCTGGCACAGACCAAGCTGTTGCTGTTCAAACAAATGCCGATAAAGTTCAAATCCACAACGCTCGTCTATTGGGTCACCAAGATACACTCTGCTCTGGCAGTGGAGGCACTACCGTACAAAGGAGCCATGTTTCTGACTGCTATATTGCCGGTGATGTCGATTTTGTTTTTGGTGGAGGATCTACTGTCTTTGAAGGTTGTACTTTCCATGCTGTTGCTGGTCGTTCTACGGAGGCGGTAGTTTTCGCTCCTGACACCGCTCCCAGTATATCATATGGATACCTAGTTATAGATAGTACTATTACTGGTGATACATCATTCTTAACTTCCAAGGAGGTATATTTGGCTCGTTCGTGGGACTCTGGAGTATCTTCCTCAAGTGACTATGTAGCGGGAACTTCACCAAATGGACAAGTTGTTATCAGAGAATCTACCATTGATGGTGTAGTGTCTACTACCGCCCCATATACGACAGCTACAAGTGGCAGAGCCTATTCTGGCAATGCTTCTAGTAGCAGAAACTTGAACAACAACAGTTACAACCGATTCTGGGAGTACGGAAACTCTGGGGACGGTGCATAGGTAACAAAAAGTTGGAAACAGTTATGTTTTAATAAATTGTTACAGTTTATCTTAATGATAAAATAAAATAATATCCACAAGACTGTTTAATTGCAAACGATTACTTTCAGGTTTATTTGAAAATTTAAATATTAAATCCACTATTAAGAACAGCAGTCGCTCTCAATCACCTTACTCCTTCCATCGTTCCTCCGAATAACGCAAATTCCCTCCACGAATTGAGTTCAACGAGACCCTACATTTTGGTCCTGCCAACCGAACCATTTTTGCTCAGCGAGACCCTAGATTTTGGTATATACAGGGTGTCCAGGATAAGAAGGCATTGAATGGGGATCTCCGAAACCGTAAGGGATACGAAGACTGTTAAATTAGGAAAGAGTTGCGCAATCAATGAGCCGATTCCAGAAAATAAGAATTTCTGTTAATTTGTGAGATATTTAGAAAAAGGCAATTTTTCGGATTTTTGTTTTTTCCCGTTTTTGACTGTATTTATTTACTGTATATACATTGTTGAATTCGCTATGAAAAGAGATATCTAATACGTTACGTAGTTACTTAGGTCCATATGAAAAACAAAAGTTGATGACGATTTCAAAGAAACGAAACGTTGTAATAAATTTTCGTCGAGACCATCTTGTATAGCTAGAAAAGGTGTAATGCGAAAGATTTTTTGATCTGATTCCAAATAACTTCAAAAATGAGAAAAAAACTGAAATCCAAAAAATCACTTTTTTCTAAAAATCTTAAAAAATAAATATAAAATAATCGACTTCGTATCTCTTACGGTTTCAGAGATTCACATGTAATGTATCCTTATCTTGGACACCCTGTACATACATAACGCAAAAGTTCAAAATGCAAATATTCATGCTATGCTTGACAGAAGATTCACCAATCCTAGGGCATTAGGAATCGTTGCACCTTTTTCTTCTTTATAGGTATAACGCGTTATAGGTTCTAACTCTAACCTAAGTTCCCTTTTCATCTGCTAGTTGACCTTTGTGCTTTTTAAAAAAATCGCTAAGTACGGATTCATAGATTTCAGAATTAAATGTCTGTATTTAACGTGCACTCTTCACATACTTTTTAATAACCGTACCACAGGAATGACGACACATTTCAGACACACTGTCTACTGTCCAGGACTGTCGTTATCTCTCCAGTATTATACAGGGTGATTCAAAATTGGCGTCATTACTTTTAAGGGGTGATAGAGGCTCACTTGGGGAGTACGAGAAAAATATTGAAATTTTTTTTTCCAAAATTTCTAGAAGATATTAACAGTTAAAGATCAAATTTCAACTTTGTTCTTAAGCATTATTTAGAAATTTTTCCATGTCTAATTGGTAGCATATTGGAATACTTAAGCATTCAAAAAGAAAAATTACGATCTTTGCTTCAAATTACGAAAATTTTTGATATCAAAAAAGATCTCTTCTACAATTTTTTGATGAAAAATCAAAGCGGCAATGATGTTTTCTGTCATTAACAGATAGTTACAGGTAGATAGCCCTTGTCAATAATAACAATAATTTGTCAAACTGTGACTTACTTTAAATTTCCTTTCACGAATTTGCTGATATGCGATCAGTTCAGGGGAAATGCTACACTAACATAGCTGAAAGAACTCACGCCAACAAAGGGCGAGGAGAGTGGTTCCAGGAAGATGGTGGACGACAATAGATGTTCGGGTTCCAGAGACAGAGGAACAAGTATTGGACATAATCGAATCAGGGCCTTCCAGGGGCACTCACAGCACAATAACTGACACTTACCCAAGCACCAAATAAATACCGAGGTAGGGCTACATTCCTACCACCTTTGTACGATACACACAGCACAAGGGGGATACAAATGGAGCACGAGTTAATTAACTGAATACGAGAAGCTACTTGATAAGAGTGGATAATAAGGAGATTACACAGGCACTAGCTTGTTTGGAGTTAACCATTCAAATGTTTGGTGTTCGAGGTTATGAGAACAGGTTGACATTT